TATTATTATTATTATTATTATTATTATTATTTTTATTTTTATTTTTTTTTTATTTTTTTTTTATTTTATTTTTTTTGCAGCTCGTCTTCAAAGACATTGGGGGAAATGAAGGATTTTCTCCCCAGATGATCCTCCAGTGAGCACTATCCAACCTGTGGAGAGTGTGTGAGCGCGTCTGTGATCACCTATCCGGGACGCTCTTGTTCGTGCAGGTCGTCCGGCGCGTCTTTCCCCCCCACCTGGCGGCTCTCCGGTCTGCGCGTCGCCGCGGCGGGGGGTGGATAGAGGGAGCTAGGATCCGGCGTCTGAGCCAAAGCTGTGTGCAGGTATTCAGTTTATGAATGGCACTGACATGGAGGAAATACCGTTTCAGAAAGTCAAAACCAGGCGGAAGAGAAGTCACTGTCCACCGGGCGTCCCTCTGACCACCATCGCCTGCGAGGACGAGTTCGACTGCAAGGAGCTCGAGTCCCTCTTCCAGAACTACAACCAGAAACTGGAGCAGACGTCCACGCTCAAAGCCCTGGCGCTCCTCATCTTCGTCTCCGCGTCCCTGGCCGTGGTGGAGCTGCTGTCCGGCCCCAGCCTCACCATCTCCAAGGGCTCCCACCCGGTCCACTGTGTCGTCTTCCTCTCCCTCTTCATTGTAACTAACGTCAAGTACCTGCAGGTGACTCAGCTCCAGCAGATAGTCAACCTGACGCTGCTCTTCGGCTTCACCTTCTCCTTCCTGTGCTGTCCCTTCTCGCTGGGCGCGATGGGGCTGGAGCCCCCGACGTCCCCGGAGCAGGGCGTGTGGCAGCTCATCCTGGTCACCTTCGTGGCGTACGCGCTGCTGCCCGTCAGGACGCTGCTGGCTGTTGTGTTTGGGATCATGGTCTCCATCTCGCACCTGATCGTGGCTGCTACTTCTGTCACGGTGAAAACGCAGAAGCTGTGGAGAACGGTGAGTGCACGGCGATAACAGCAATCATCGTTTATTGCGGAAACAGATCGGTAAAAGTTGCCCGGGCGTGTTTTCCAGTTCAGCACCGAGGACAGCCCCATTCAACTTTAGACTAAACTTTATCTTACTTTTTGTGGATCAGAATATTTGACCTTGTTTCTTCTCTCTAAAAGACAATAAGTCTTTATGTAAAGGGATGAAAACATGCCATGGTGTTGATTTGTGCCACATCAACACCTGTTTGTAGAATCTTTGGGGAAATGATTGAGTTTCGACAGAGTTGGCTGGAAGTTCAGAACCAAGTGACACCCTGCCAGCAGTAAAAGTAGGACAACTTGACAGGGGCTCAGACTCAACATGATGTGCTTCAGTACCTGAAAAGAGGGCAAAGTCARTCGACATTTTAAAGCAGAAACGTGCATTGTGTTATAGCGACAGCATTGCTTAGAGAAGAAAATAGCTTTTTTTCCCTTCTGTTTATAAGACTGTAGGTGAAGGTGATGGCTGCACTACCAGAGAAAGCTAATCCATTAAGCTCAGAGTTGAGCTGCAGGTAGCTTGACCCCACCAGGTTTGGATGCAACATCGGCCTTTAGGTCTGAGGCATTCAGCCGCCACTCCTTCACCTACAGCTCTCTCAAAAGCATCTAAATACAGAACCAAAGATCTTTCGCATAAATTCAGAATCAAAAATCCTTAAAGATTCAATTTATATTAGTTCACAACTTTGCAGTTCAAACAAACACCTGTAGAAAAGCAACAAATAATATTTGCAGAATCTCATTAATGTTTAAAAGGACGCTGAAAAGAGCTGTGCAACTCAGTTTGTAAATTTAGCTTTGCATTTCAGCTGAACAGTGATTGCTTTGCAGCATTTACCCCCACTTTGTTTTGTAACTCTTCCAAAATGTGTGCACTRTTTTTTTTTCACTTTAAAATTTTTAAGCTTTAAAAAAATGCTGATAAAAAAAACAAAATAATTGATACTTTTTAAAAACTTGTGCACATTTTAGAGGTGATTACAGGACCGTGTTTATTTTGTGCACAAACTGCCTCACTCAAAACAAAGTTGTGTCCTGCAGAAGGTTAAAAGTAATCAATCTGTTGTTGTTTCTCCTGTGATAGATGACCTATATACCATAAATACACTAAATACAGGTGAACACTCTGTTTTTTATCTATATAAAAATATGTAACATAACATAGCAAAACAGGAGGAGAATCAGAAGTCCAAAGTGATAGATATTTTATTGTATGCAGAAATTAGAGGATTTTGTAGCACATGCGTGCTAACACACAAATAAAGTATTGCTAATGCTCTTTTTGTCAACACTTCTTACACATTTTTCATATACGATGCTTTGTCATTTAAAATTTCTGAACACATTTACAGCAACACAATAAGCAGCTTTTGCAGCATCACTAAACACACACGTTTAGTGCTCGTTGTTCACACTAACCCGTTTGTCATTTTAGTGAAACTAGTTGAGATCAAACCTATTTTTTTTYCCAATTTGTTTATCTTCTGTTTTTGCAGATGGTTGCAAACGCCGTCTTGTTTACCAGCGTCAACCTGTCGGGGCTCTTTGTGCGCGTCCTGACGGAGCGAGCTCAGAGGAAGGCCTTCCTGCAGGCTCGCAACTGCATCGARGAGAGACTGCGCATGGAGGATGAGAACGAGAAGCAGGTGAAGGCACCTGTGCTCTGATCCAAATCGGGGGGTTTAATCACACGGATTTATATTTAAAAAATGGATTTGTTAGGTTTCATACCTTTTTTGTTTAGCAGCTTTTTTTTGATTGCCACTCGCACCTTTTTTATGTGAAGCTTTATTTTACTTTATTAATAACAAATGGTTTCTACCCACCCCTGCCCCTCACTGTCTTTTTAACACACACACACACWTTTGCACTCAGGAGCGCCTGCTAATGAGTCTGTTGCCCAGGAACGTAGCTATGGAGATGAAAGAGGATTTCCTGAAACCTCCTGAAAGGATCTTTCACAAAATCTACATCCAGCGTCATGACAATGTCAGGTAGGACCGAATCACGCCRCATCGCCGTCGCACTGCAAACTGTGTAAACCCAAGTGTTAAATCTGGGAATTCTTTGTTCTCATCGTGGATAAAAAAATTTCTAAACACAGCTTCTAATCAAGCCTGAGTAAATCCAACAAACCCCTTAAACCTGAATAGTGATTTTCTAATTTAAAAAAAAGCACTTTTGTGTCACTGAAACTGAAATGTTTCATTTTTAATAATAAAGGATTTCAACTTGCTCTAATAGTTTTSTTCGCAACAAACTTTAGGGAAACAMATWATGCTGGGTTATATTTCTTTAATGCAGGTATTGATTTCTGGGGCACTGAAAGGGAAATCCTTTAGAGACTCCATTAGGAGAAGAAKAGAAAAACAGATTCCCACATTAAACAAAAAAAGTCTTAAATAACACTAGAGAGCTATTATTAGCAAAATGAGCATACATATTAAATAACATAATCAGTACTCTGCAATCCTTTTGTCAGTGGTATTCTCTATGCAGACTTAAGAATTATATATTCCAGCATGCAGTTTGGACAAAAGTTTAATCTTTGGAGCTATTTATTGTTTGCTATCATGGGGTATATACGTTATGCACCAGAATTTGCTATGATCTATTGCTTTAATTCTTCTCATGGCTTCTATTTGTTTTCCTCCTGGTTTTGTTGGTCAAGTCTTTGTGTTTGACCTTTAACCCTTCATCAAAGAAGAGTCAAGCATTTGGGGTATCAAAGTCCAACATGTCAGTCACGGCTCCATCCTCTYCAAAACACCATCTTTTTCATCCCAATTCTTCCTTTTCACTGTGCCTCACCAGCTGCTGTGTCAAATCTGCCCTCGCGGCTCCAACACTTCCTTGTTTTCTCATCTCATCTTCTGCTCTTCTTCTTCTCCTCCTCCTGTGTTCTCAGAGCAGCAGGGAGGCTCGAAGAGGAAAGTTTGCTTAGCCTCGGGATTAAGTTGCTGCAAGGGATTAAATGCAATGGAGACTAAGTTCTTGTTGCGTAACGCTCTCTCTGTGTACGCGGTTAAATATGGACAGATCTCGGCGGAGCTCTGCTGATTGCGTTTTTTTTTTTTTTTGCCCTGAACTCTTTCAAAGCCTCCGTTTAAAAAGTGATCTGGACAGGAAATGAGTCAGTTTTTAGGTGAGCTATGATTAGAAACTAAACAGTATGTGCAGAGTTGTAAGTACAAATACTTTGTTACTGTACTTTAGAAATTATGGTTATCTGTACTTTACTTGAGTARTTATTTTTCAGCGTACTCTTTACTTTTACTCATTACATTTTTACACAATTATCTGTACTTTCTACTCACTACATTTTTTAAAAAGATAAGAAGTAGAAAGTCGTTACTCCTACTTTATTCGGAGTTATTACTTTAAAAATACTATCCTGATAAATTGTGTCTCCTGGATAGAGTGAATKTAATTGTGGTTGGATGAGAAGTATAAATATTTACCATTCTGACACCTCATTAGCTTGTACACAACCCATCACAGCTGTACGCGGTTAGAAAAAATATTTTTTGGAGAAGTCACCTCCCAATAAATATCATTTTGGAAAATCGAACTGCTCGCTTTTACTCAGTACTTTTACTTTTAATACTTAAGCAGATTTTGTGTCAGAAATTTACTTTTGATACTTAAGTACAAAAAATATCAGATATTTGTTCAAATAATATTTTTAGAGAAGACTAACTTTTACCAAAGTATTTTTA